GGGGTGATACAGAAGTTGATAGAATTGTTTTTGGACTCTAAAAAGCCATTGGATCAAGCAGTTCCCACTTTTTTTAAGGCTTCTTCAAGTTCCTAGTGTAAGGAGATAATTTATTTCTGAGTAAGTTACTTTAAACGATTCATGGTTTTGAGGCTAGAACAAGAAGGAAAATTAACTCCCTTAAAATGAACTGTTCTCCCATTCTTATGGCTAATGTTTGGTAATTAGTCATGATAGCTTTATTGAGATTTGTCTTACTTGCCAGTTTACATTTATTCTATTACTATGTACTATTTATATTGGAATATAATTGCTTTATCAAGTCTTTTTTGATTGCCAGCTATCATTGTTCCCAATATGACAGTCATATTAGGGTTTACCTTGCAACAAAAAATTAAATGTTTCTTGGTTTATTTGATGATACTTTGTCAACTGCACAGGTTGTTAAGTATTGAATGGCACAGTGGTTTGGATAAAGGATTTTGAAGGATGTACAGTAGGACAGTAGTGTTTTGTTTCAAGTTACCTTCCCAGAATTTTCCTGGTAAGATTTAGGAAACCAAACCTCTCAGGATAATGATTCTGCACTTTTCTGGAAGCTCCTGGACTAGAACCCTTGTTCTTTAGAAACAAAACATTTAATATTAATTTTAATAATATGATTGCATGGAATTTAATGATAATTACATTTGTTGCATTATGAAGATAGATTATATGTATGGATTCTCTGCTTCTGTCCATCATATCTTCTGTTGTATTCTGAATGTTTAGTAAAACCTATGAGTAAAACAGGAGAATGTAAGTCCTGATGTTCCCAATCCCATTCTGCATCCATTGTTCTTTATAATTCAATGAAACTGAAGTTCTCGATGGAAAACACCCAACATTTGTGATCTTTAAATGTTAAATTATTTTCATTATTCCTTGTATGGATAAAAAATTAAGTAATTTGCATGTATTTTTACATTTATCTTTCTTTCCTTTGTTGTTCAGTATATTATGCATCAAGCATAGATTCATGGATATTTCTGTGATTTCATTTGGCCAAGGTGGGTCCTACAGGTATCTTTCATTTGCATACAGTACTAATTTGTGTCTTTTTATTTCATCTATTTGTGGACTGTACCATACTTACACTAATTATGTGAGGGATGATTATGAAATACTGAAAAACTGCCACTTGTTTGTCATCAACATACACACCAGACTTTGTGAATATCCTTGTAAATGTATGGCAGTATTTTTCTTTAAAAATCCAATGTATAATAATATATTTTTGAGTTCCTTGCTACTAAAATGTAATTCTTGTTTTCAGTACTAAATCTTTTAGATAGCTCATCGTGTTTTTTTTAATTCTTCCAGTTCTGTACAGGTTGTTCATGCCAAAGATGATAGTCACCAAATACATCTCATTGCTTTGTATTCCTTGTTTTGTTGCAAATGGTACCATGGATGATAGAAAGAAATAATCTGGATTCTACATAATACATAATGCTCTAACTTTTAAATATTTCAGTGTGAGAACTAGTCTTTGATATAGTGTTCGCAATTTTAATAAGCTTTGAACATGTTGTTCATATTTGAAGTTTCTTGTTGGAAATTCATTTTTTCATCAGGGTGCAACAATAAAGACAGATGAAGAAACAGGAAAAATTGTAATTGCCCGTATTATGCATGGAGGAGCTGCAGATCGCTCAGGACTCATCCATGTGGGGGACGAGGTGTGTGAAGTAAATGGCATTAATGTTGAAGGGAAAACACCTAATGATGTCCTCAAAATACTGGTTAGTAATAATATTGCACCTGTATTTAATTTTTCTGTAGTAGTATATTCATAACTTTAGCAGAATTTATTTCTCAAAACAGAAGTTTTAGTTTTAATCCTTTTATAGCTGCTTAGGAAGGTAATATATGTTTTAATCATTATGTCTGATTTATAAAATATTTATGTGACTTGAAATACATATTTTTGTATTTATGAATTCTAAAAAGTTATTTATTTTTATACTCATTTCTATAGCAGTGAACTGATATTTCAGTTCATCCATAGACTTTTGCCAGTGATAAATTTTATAATATAATCTTTCAACTTTGTTCTTAGGAACACAGGTTGTAGGACTGGACAGAAAATGGAGAAGCTTGTATACTGTAATGTACCCAATGGCAAACTCCAGAAATTGTTGAGCAACAAAAGTAATAAATAGAACAAGTTCATTCAGTTCAGTAGTGTTTAATGCATTTTATTTTGAATATGAGCAATGTTTGTCTGGCGTTTCATTTCATGTTTATTCATATGACCAAAACTGAAGAGTTATAACAATTCATGTAGCTTAATTGGGATTTAATGTCTTGTATTATGAATGTGAACAACATTTTAGTGATGTTTTATCTAATGTCTTCTTTTATATGACTAAAATAGTAATAGGCACAGTTAACAATATCTGTATAGCACATGATACAGATAATTGTAAAAGCCTCAAATTGAGGTAATAAGAATGCTGTAGAAGGTGTTTTGATTGGTCTGATGATAGTGAATGCTTATCAGAACATTAAACCAGAATGTGAATGTTTTATGATTACTGTGTTTTTTACTTGTGTGGAATTTTGATATATTGTACACACAACTTGGTTGCCAAAAAGCAGAATGTGAATAGATATTGTAAAAAAAATTGGATTACTAAAGTCAACAGATAGTGAAATGCCTGAAGATGGAAGATGTTCTTTGAGAACATATACATACATTTAGTTAGTGTGTGAATGAGGTGAAGAAAATTGTGAATTAACTGGTCTCTCTCTATCTCTTACAGCAAAATTCTGAAGGGACGATAACCTTTAAGCTGGTTCCAGCAGATGGGAAAGTGGGTATACGGGAAAGTAAAGTTCGAGTTCGTGCCCATTTTGATTACACATCTTCAACAGATCCCTACATACCATGCAAGGAGGCAGGACTGGATTTTGTAAAGGGAGATGTGTTACACATTGTAAGCCAAGATGATGCTTACTGGTAAGTCAATGAATTATGTTTTTCATTATGTAAATTTTTTGCTTACACAAGGCATTAGCTTTTCAGTAAAACCCTTGGAAAACATATGACGTGAAACTGAATTAAGTATTTGTGTTCTGTATTTTTGTTTTGAGCAATTATCTCAAAAGGTAGTAGTATTATATTGTAGTGGAGACAAGATCTGAAAACTTAATTTACCTCTTGCTCTTAAGTGTAATTGTTTAGAAATATTTATTTTGGTCCGATTGTACTTGCAAGGTGGCAAGCTCGAAGGGAAGGGGATCGCAATATGAGGGCAGGACTGATACCTAGCCGAGCACTGCAGGAACGCAGGATTCTGCACGAGCGTACACAGCAGGATAAAACGTCAGAAGAAGGTGAGATAAGGGATCAGTGGTAGATCTGAGGGAATGTAGTTTAATCACCACCTTGTAAAAAATTTGTCTTCACATTGTTTAGATATTGCATATATTCCAAACTTGTCATACATAAGAGTGTTTCATTTAAACCCTCTTTGTATTGAATGGAATCTCATTTATTTCTCCTTTGCACAAGAGAATTTTAATTTTCCATTATAATTTAGGTTTTAATATTGTTATCAAAAAATATTTGTACACAGGAAAAAATATTTCAGATTGAGTTTGTCTGCAGCCTTATGCACATGAGTTAATAACTTAAATGAAATACTCTGCATTTGAAAGCTTTATCCCTAGCCTAGTGAAGATGTAATCAAACTACTCAGTAGAAAGTTAGCGAGTGGCAAATTAATATAAATTTATATAACATGTGCTGTGTTTCATTTCCTGTTGATTCTTACGCTAAGAGTGCTATTAACTTTGATATAGAATTAATAAGATCAGATTTGTTTATTGTTCATAACAGAAGTGTAATTTTGCTGATGCTAGCATGTGTGTATATCTCTGGTTCCAGATTACACTATAGTTTTCTCCCCCCTTCCTGGTGGTGAATGTGAGTTGTTGACATTGCAACTGCACTGAATATCTTGATGCCTTGCATTAATTATAGTTATATTTTATCTCTTGTTCCTGAATTCTGCAGCATGGTTTTGCTTGGGTTGGGTGTATACATTGCTCTAAGTTCAGAAATCTTGATTATTAGAATTTCCATAAACTGTTTCAGAAGCTTCTGTAGCTTGTATATATTAAAATGTAATTTGTTTAGAAGTTAGAGATAGCAGTTGATCTATTATATGTAAGTTTTAAAGCTGATATTATTCTAATTTTTTGTTACTACTTTATATTGGCTATTGAATTCAATGTTAACAATACATAATTTATTTATTAAAATAGATCTGTTTAGTTTGATACAATTACTGATGTTTCATATATGGAGATATTTACCTGAGATACTTTTGTTTCTGGTATATTTCAGGGTCATACAGCGATGTGGTATGGTCATTAGGCTTACATTTGCTGCCCGCTAACTTCCCTGTAGGTTTGTGCTCTGTTTCAGTCCTCCCTGGGTGTCAGTCCCCTAAGTCCCCTCGCTGTGCCTCTAAACCTAAAACTAAAAAGATTATGTATGACACAGCCGAGAATGATGACTTTGACCGTGAGGAGATTGCCACATACGAGGAAGTAGCAAAGCTTTACCCACGCCCGGGGCTTCACAGACCCGTGGTCCTCATCGGGCCTCCGGGTGTTGGGCGCAATGAGCTCAAGCGGAGACTCATTGCTACTGACCAGGAAAAATATAAGACTCCTATTCCATGTGAGTACTTCTGTGGTCTTTGTTTCCTTTTATTGCCTTCACCATTTATTTTAGAGCATAGGTTGCATAGACGTGCAACCAAATGTTGTTGAACTTCAAGTGTAGAGAGTGAAATATTTACCTTGCTTGTATCACATTTTTGATGGTATTCATTTTATATTGATATCACTACAACTTCTGTAGTACTGCCAAATTAATCTTCCACTAGCTTTTGGAAATGGAGGTGCCATGCACTGAAATTTCTTGAAGGTCTGATAGTGCAAAAAGTGCACGGTTTTCTCCATGTAGTTGTCCTGTTGGTTGTGGAATGTTAAGCTTACATTGTCACCACAGAAGTTGGCATTGGACCTTATTCAAAGCCTGCTGAGTCCAGTTTGTATCCTTGCACCCTGTTTACCTAAGGTCTATTTAGAGCACCCAGAAAAATCTTACTCAACTTTAATTTTTTCTGTTATACAGACAAACAATTTATTTTAGAAGATAAAGGTAGACTTGCCTTTATGGTAAGTAAAAGGCAATTTTTAAATGTTCATTTATATGAGGTATATTTTAACAGCAGTGTTAATGTGAATTGTGATCTGTATTGTGCTGTCTAGCCTTTACCAACATTTTAAGGGAACTTGTACCCTGAAAATGGATCCAATTTGTTCCTATAGAACATTGGTAACCAGCTACAAGATTACAGTTTTACAATCCAGAGAACCATATTCCATTCATTGTTGTTTTCCCTTTGGCAGGAAATGATGTGTCAGTGTGTTGTGCTTGAAGATATGTCTGACACATTGCCAAGCACTTGAAGTTCATATTAGCACAAATTATTTGTAAAATTATTAACTTGTGGTATCTGCTAGTGTGTATACAATTTGAAGCATTTAAAGATAAGTATGTGTCATGAGTTATCATCTGTGTGACATACATTTATGTTTTCTTAATGTCTTGTCTCTTTCAAAATAGCAATCCAGTTGAAATCACCAACCAAAGAAGAAGAAGGAACTCTACAAACTATCAGTCCAGAACAGAATAGAGAATTAGCAGTATTTGCCAAATTGAACTGTTTTTATTTTGACTAAGTTAACTTTTACTGAAATTTGGGGTAATGATGAGAGAGATTTCATTCAACAGCTATGTACATGTTCATCCATGTCATCATACTTTATAATTGTTTATAATTCATCCCTGCATTAATGCTTCCTGCTTTCTGTGTTTTACTTTATTAGGTGATTTATGTAAGGAATGTGGATATGACTGTCTGCATTTGTAAATATGTACAAGGAAGTGTATAGCATAATTTTGTTTTAGACACATCTCGTCCTGTGAGACATGGAGAAGTAAATGGAAAAGAGTATTTTTTTGTAACAAGAGAGAAAATGGAAGAAGAGATTGAAGCTGGAAAATTTATTGAATTTGGAGAATACAAAGGGAATTTGTATGGGACATCGGCAGAAAGTGTCAAGTCATTAGTGAATGCAGGATACGTCTGCATATTGAATCCTCATTACCAAGTCAGTTGCTTCTTGATACTCTAGTACATTGATATTGTGTTGTGTATGATTTTCACAGAGGTAGTAGTTTGTCCTATTTTTTTATAGGCCTTGAAAATGTTGAGGATTCCTCAATTAAAACCATACATAATATACATCAAGCCACCACCATTTGATATTCTGAAAGAGACTCGTAATGCGTCTTATGCTAGATCAACATTTGATGAGAACAACTCCAGGGGTTTTACTGTAAGTACAGTTCTTCCTGAGTTTCGTAATGTGTTTACATTTTCTGCAGGATTATACATGTCTTGTGGAAAATAAGGTATTCTAGGGAATAAAATACCAGGGAAAACATCCATGTTTTATTATGATGAAAACTGAAACATATTTTTGCACCTGTTGCCTTCATCATCTTTGTCTAATATTTTGTGGCTGTCTTGTCATTTGAATACTTTTTAGTAATGTAATTGACAGCATGATTTCTGTCCTTTGCACAGAGTTTATATACAAACTTTGTCAAAATCATGTGTCTTTTATTTCAGGATGAAGAATTTCAAGAAATGCTACATAGTAGTGAGCGTATAGAGTTTTTGTATGGACATCTCTTTGATGAAGTTATTGAAAATGCAGATTTGTCGGCAGCATTTGAACAACTAGTACGTGCTGTGAACAGAGTAGAGACAGAACCTTTGTGGGTCCCAGCCTCTTGGGTTCAGTGACAACATTCATATCACTCATGACCAAGAAATTGTCATTGGTAAGAGTATTTACAAATTTGGTTGAATGTCTAGCCCACTAAAACATATTAACTTGCAGGTTGGTCACCTTCATATGTTTCATGAATATTTTTAGGGAACTGCAAGTCCTTAATGTGAGATGTGATGGGGAGTATGAAATCTGTAGTGTGCTAAAAAGTTTACTTATTAATGTACAACTGTAGGTGTTTGTGATCTGAATATGCATCATAAAGGAAGTGTTTATGAGTGCCTTTTGGCAGAAAGAGGGGAGTCTGATTTTATTCAGTTTTGAAGAGAATAGTTTGATTCCTTTTGTGTAAATTGGCTATTCTACTATGTCCACAAGTGGTTTGTGTTTTCTGTGTTTCAGGTGTTTCTTTTGTGAACAGTATTTGTTTTGTTTCCAGATACAGAGTGATATTGAAGGAATGGAGAGTATTTGAATGTAGTCCCATTTTCAAAGTGCTCCTTGATGTTGGTGTGGACTTTGTTTCCATATGCAGAAACTGAGCAAGATTTGCCAGGTTGAGCTTGTTATATACTGTTCTAGTTAAATATTGGGGAAGATACAGTAATGAATTTAGCAGCAGGTGGGCTATATTCATGTGTTTGCCAGACTGTTATTTCAGAGTAGTGTCATATGGACACACACTGCTTCTCTCCATGTCATATTAGCTGAAGCTCTTGTTAATTGTTATTTCCCACGTGTGCATGGGGATGTATGTCATTTAGCTCAGGCGTTGAATGGTTACGGCCCTGACCAATCACTGCCATGCTAATGTCGTTATCAGGAAACAGAACTCTGTAAGGAAAGTGTATGTGTAGCCCATCTCATATGTTAATTACAGATTTTAATCTTGTACCAAAGATGTCCATGTTGATATGATTTATAAGATTATTTGATAAGGTATGAAAATTCTCTCTATTAATAATGGAATGTACAATAATAATGACTGCAGTAATTAGTCTGTTGTGAAACAAATCACAGCTTGGGAAATGTTAACGTGCAGTTAACTGATAGTTCATTATTACCTGCTGTGGTTTTTCCTTGATTCCATAGTTTGCAGCTCAGAGATCATGAGGTCACATTGTGATAAACAGGGATAACTTATATTCATTGTTCACTGCCAAAATTTGCTAGTTATTAAAAAGTTAGCTTACAAGTGATATATGTATGTCTGAAGGGCTCTGACATTGGCGTGTTACAATAAGTTCAACTGTTATTTTGGTCATCCATTGTCTTGATTCTTTCTTAAAAAATAACATTTCAGAGTCTGGCTCTGTCTGCATCATCAAGTAGGCACCCCTTTCTCCTACTGTCACTTGATGACAGAGACATATCCAGTCTCTGAAATGTTGTGTTTCGCAAATATCCAAGACAAAGGATAATATCCAAAGTAACAGTGAAACTTATCGCAAGTGATATATATGATAGGCAAGTATTTGCATCAAGTTCTGGATTTCTACTTGACAAGATGTGTATGTTTGAGATTTAATTCCTGAATACCTTGATGTAGATTACATCACTTACACTACTACACATTTGTCACTATCCATTCTTTGTATTACAGTTCTTGAGGTCTTTGTGCATATCTAATACATTTGTTAGGGAGACCTGCTCCCTGTTTATCATGTTTGTAGGCTACTGGATTTTTTCCATTCCTCATGTTAAACTCCTGTTTCAAAACATGAAATGAGCTTATTGTGTTGTTCAAGAACACATTGTTGACTGTACACAAGGAATACTTTTGACATTGTTTAATTTATTTATTAATGTGTTTTTATGTGTGTTTTCTTAAATCTGGGAAACTTGTCTTCACAGAGAATATTTTGTATTTATCTGACATCGTATTCTAAAACTCTGCATTAGTAATATTGTAGAATTTTATTGGTGGTTACTTATTTAATTTTTGTTGTATATCTGAAAATAATCTTGACCATTTCTAAAAGAAATTGGACCTTACCATTTGTACGTTGCAGTAGTGTTGGAAAGTGGAATTATGCAAACCTGGAATTTGAATTTTGTCAACATGGTTGATATGCAATAATCAGATTTGTGTTAAGAATTGTAGATATTTATTATTATATTTCTTTAACAGATACAGTTGGTATGTATTAATACACTGCTGTACACATATAAAGACTTGAGAAATGCAGGAGAATTTCATGACAGGTATGTGATGGCTCTCTGAAAACCATGATGCAGTAAGATTTAAGTTTGACATTAGGGGCTCTTGTATGTAATGGATGAACATCTTGAACTTAACTGTCCGTGAAGCAGGTGGGATAAAACACAGAAGACTTCTATGAGGCCTGATCCTATATGAGTCATTGAGTGACTCGAAGTCCATGTGTCTTCTAGTGGCCAGTGTCAGTACAGAGTTCGAGATTTTATGGCTGTGGGAGGAAGTTGCATCTGTAAAATATTTCACATCCCTTTGTGTATTTTTGGGTTTGTTATTTTAATATCATAAACACTGCTTAAGAAGGCTTATTATTACAGTCATTAATACATTTGAAATTAGGTTTTAACTGTAAATTTCAGTAATAATCCCTTGCAGCATGATAAGCATGTGTTTATGTCATGAGAAATTTCAAAGATGAGATCATAAGCTAAGGAACAGTAATGATATTTTCAGTCCTTCCATTTTGTGTTGGAAGAGAACCTGAGTACTGGCCACAGATATTTCTGCACACTTAATGATGACCATACAGATTGTCTATAAGCAAGCCTTCAGCAGACATGTTTCATGTCCATTGTAGAATCAGTTCTAAAGTTTTGTTCATTACTGCAGGCCTTACTGCCTCTCTGTCTTCTTTAGTCAACAGATTCCAGAATCAAGTTGTGGTCCTACATTGAAATCCATTTAATATCTTAATGTCGTATGGTTTTTATGCTTCAGAAGTTAAAAATATTTGGTCCTAACAAATATTCCATAAGCTTCATGTAGTATTCCCTTCTCAGGATATTCTTCTTTAAAAGAATTTCCTCTTAAGTTCTAAGGAACAGTAGTTAATAAGATTTAAAGTCTCTATTTTCAGGCTGACTGGTGCACATTTAATCTTTATGCATCACAGTAGCATACCATTAAATCCTGGACTTGAAATCTGGCCAGCAGCCCGTTAGAATATGGGTTTAAATCCCCATTCTCATACAATTAAAGATAAATTAAATGTAAAGGTGTTTTGTAAGGACATTTAAGTGACAATTTTATGATGCTCTATCTTGTGGGAAAAAGAGATTTAACTTTTTTGTTTTAACCCTGAAACTTTTAAAAGTAAATTATTTCAGCAGCTTCAGACTTGTCTGTAGGAGTAAGTATAATAATGTCTGTATTGTTTGTTTAATTGCCTGTATACCCCACCTTGATGAACCGATAAAGATATCCTTTCACACTGCACAGCTGGCCATCAGAACACAGGCTATTGCTAACCACTCACAGTAGTTTAAAATATAAATGGGATTTTAATATAATTTTATGGTATTTCAAATAAATAGATGTTCAGTGTTCTGATTCTTAATCCCATCTGGCTTCTTGATGCAGTGTAAAAAGTACGTGTAGCAAACTTAATTGAAGGAATTTCTTCAGATGTATGTTTTTCCTGATAAAGATCAAATGGGATATTTTTGCCACCAAAGTTTTGCCTTGTATACTCTGTTAATTTACTCAGCAACCTTCAGTATATATTTCATCAACTTAGTAGACAGAATTTGAGGTTAGATCCATTCAGAAACAATGATTATCTCTGTGAGAGTCGTTGCAGATGTAAATATCTTTTGTTAATTGATTGTGCAGAAACAAGTTTTACTTGTTACATAAACTTTGTATATATGAACATGATTCTTTCTCACTCATTAATATAGTGATGGCATGGGCAGCAATATGGTCCAAAGTTCTTCCTCTTTATAGTGCAGTGGAACACGTTAATTCCCATTTAACGTGCTGATTGTGCTGTAATGAAAAATATACATTAATAACAAGTTCATAATTATAATACAAGGGACCACTGTATTAGAAATCCAAAATTGGCAGTAAAGATAGAACATTTATAAATGATTTAACACTATGTATTAGAATATTATACCTTACAGTTTTAAAAGTTACAAGTAACAATTTTTATGACTGAACTGTGACATAGAATAACACAATGAAAACAGTTATATGCAGTCTTATCTCGTCTTCACGCCAGCCACATCTTTGGCCACCAATCCACCAGCAATATTAGTGAACACCAGTGTAATCTCTGCCGTCTTGTAGAGTCTTAATCTGGGAATTGGTCTTCAACAGGCCCTTCTAACCCAGCCTCATCACATATATTTACTAACTCTTGTTTGTATTTTCTCACACAACAGGCTTGTATGGTAATAAGTGTTTTAGACTTTTATCCAAAAATGTTTTGAGTCGTACCTGAGTTACTTAATATCCTGACATTTTTTGTGGTTTTATTCAGTCTGCCCTGGCAGACACTGTGACAGTACTCAGAAATTGACCTTGAGTGTATTTCCTTTTCCTTACTTGCCATCTCATTTGGTTCTATATAACCTTTGCATTTGAAGCAGCATTATTAAAGAAACCAGAAATCAATTAAATAATCATTCTCCTGATATTTTTCTGTGCCTTATTCTTCAGTTTGCAGGCACAGAACTCAGTTTTGAATCAGTTTGTAGTATACTACATATTACTCCCTATTTTCAATCCATTCCTCCTTGAGACAGTTGACAGTATGGAAAAAACATCTTATCTGAAGCATCCTCCCTCGTGTTTGTTTAGTTCTTCCTCTGCTGTGGAATATTAATATTTGCTTACTATCATCTCTATTTCTGGATGAGTTCTAAGTCTGTCTGCATGAGTAAACTGTGCCTCTGAAACTTTAGAACTTAGTATTTTTAGTTCATTCAGTACACCAACTAAAGTAACATTCGTATGCACTAGAAATTAATTTTTAGCAGGACCGAAGCAGCACATAAGGTAGAAAAGCGTGCCTAAGATATATCTATTAGTTATTACATTTTCATATGACATTTTAAAGAATAAAAGTATGTCACAATTAATTGAAGCATTATGATATCAGGTTTTTGTTCTAGGCTGTGAAATCCTATGGTGACCAAGTAACTGTATGATACACAGTTTTTCTTTAAAATTATTTATTTACCTGTAGATTTAGTACCACGTACAGAGAACACATAACTGAACCTTGTTCTGAGCCTTTCGGTTCAGTCCACACCTTCACATCCTATTTTTGTAAGATATGATTTAATATTAGTCTTAAGTCAATGTTTGGGTATCCTGAGTGGTGTCTTGTTAAGATGTTTTGTAGTAAAAATGTGTGCAGTTTTAATTTCTTCCATCCTTCTATGGTAACCAAATATTCAGAATTTAATTTTTCTTTTCTTGTTTCCATTTCTTCTGCCACAGTACAAAATAAATTTTGTTCTTTTCAAGTAAACAAAACCATTTTTCAGTTTTAATGTAGCTAAGAGATACATGTGTGCCCGAGAGAGAGGTAATAGGAAAGTGGAGAAAATTAAATAATGAGCTCGAATATTAATGCTTATTTCCAAATATTATTTATGGTGATCAAGTCAACAAATATGAGATGGATGGGGCATGTAATATGCATGGGGGAGATGATATATGAAAACAAAATATTAGTCAGGAAACCATACAGGAAGAGGCCACTTATAAGATGAGCAGATAAATATCCAAATGGATCTTAAATGAATAGGATGTGAAGATGTGGATTGACATCAGTTGGCTCCAGACTGCCCAGTGGCACCTTCATGTGAACACAGTACTAACCCTTTAGGTTTCATATAAAGGTTGGGAATTTCTTGTCTAAGCAACAGTCAGCTTCTCAAGGACTACCCTGCTTTATGGAATTAGTTTAAATATGGATTAAATTGTTGCCCTGTACTGGCACTGCGATTGAAAGAAGTTCTGTTGCACATGGACTGTGAGATGCTCTCTAAGGTGGCGACATTTGATTAGGATAGAATGTGTAAATATCATCGGACTGTACAGTTTGTGTGCTGTGGTTTTAACAAGGAGTAGAACTGTTGGAGGATTCTCAACTGACAGGGATAATTTGTGTTCATTCCTCTTGTTATAAAAGTGGTATAGCACTTTAAGGAAACAACACTAAAGCATTAAAATTTCACTACAGAAACTGTCAACATGTCTAGCTGCCCCACAAAGGTACCCATAACCCATTTCATTGTTTTTCAGCAATAACTTATGTTGTTTAATTTGTATGCAGTGCAGAAATGCAGACTTATAAAATAATGACCTGTTACAAAGTAGCTAATTATAATGGTATTATTGTTCATGCATCTTATATATTTACAAGTACCTGTATTGATACTATTCATAAATGATCAATAAAAATATTGTTACAGTATATTTATTACCAAGCAGGCATGAAGATTATTTTAATATTGACCTTTGGCATTTCTATGGTGAGTTACTTAACAGGTAACTATGGAACACCTGTTGTCATTTTGATAACCTGATATTAGAAATAATGGAATAGTGGTCCACAATAGATGATTGGGCCCTCCCATTATGACTGATTATTACAATTTCCATCCATCTTTGATTATGATTCCACAGCAGTTATTACGATGAACTAATCTAGGAGGTTGATGTGGTTGTAATGGATGTGAGAGAATAAAGATGCACCAAGTTTCTCAAAACATTATAGAGAAAGCTGAAATTTTATGTACAGATACTTTCATGTCTTGAAGATCACTGTCTTCTGGGTTGTAGATGTAGAGGTTTACCATCATTTTTCAGAAGTGTGTGCTGCCTCCATCATCTTGGGCATTGACATGGTGGAGGAGGCAGCAAGTACCTCTGAAACGTTAGTAAACTACCAGACTACACGGTGCTACAACCCAGAAGACCGCTATCTTCATACTCGCAGCCATGTGAATCTCAAATCCATTTCACAAACACTATTTTTCTACGTACTCTCCAACATTTTCTATGGCTTTATGCCTTTTTCCCCTGTTGGAAAAATTGGGGTAAACGTTTCTGAGTGACCCTCATGACCCAAAATAAGCCAAGGTTTACATCTTGAGGGTCTTTGAGAACAGAATGCTGAGGGTAATATTCTTAACTAAGACTGATAAAGTGACAAGGCTAGAGAAGGTTACAAAATAGGAGCTATATAATTTGTACTCTACTGTGTAGAGTGTACACAGTATGTTATTAGGATGAAACGAGTAAAATTAAAGGTGAGATGGGAGTAAGTGACATGTGACAGATGAGAATAACACAAAATTTTGTTTTGACAGGGAAGGGATCACTTGAAAGGCCTAAGCATAGATGGATCTTTAGGCAACTAGGTGGGAGGATGGACTGGATTAATCTGGCTTGTAGTAGGGACCGATGGCGGTCTGTTGTGAATATGATAATGAATCTTCTGGTTTTATGCGAGGCTGGAAATTTCGTGTCTAGCTGAGCGACTGTCATATTCTCAAGGACTCTGCTTCAAGGAATTAATTGAGCTAAAGTAAGTAAATGAATTTTAAAAAAAAAGTCAAAGAATTAGGTTTGCAGTAGGCGTGTGTGTCGGCGCAGTTAGGTTCTTGTGCCAACTCATCGTTGTGGCGCACGCGATGTGGGCTGCCTACCTGCCAGTAAATGTTCGGGCTCCACTACGTATACACATCCTGCGGCTTCAGGTTTGTCCGAATGAGCGCAAGCGCACTTGATTTGTTAGGATTATGCTTCTTTCTTTCCTTGCAAACTTTTCACATTTTCCATTCCGGAACAAGTATCTGCCGGAAGTGTAGCAAGTTATTTCCGTTTAATGGTGGTGGCGTGTTAGCAGTATTTCGCGAGTGAAGAAATCTATTTGTAACGCTTCGGTCTGACGGCAGTGTCGAACATAGGTAGGAAGACGTGATTGCTGCTCTGTGTCATTGTTACTGGTGAGTTAATTGAGATTTGCCTCAATATCTTTCTACGGCAAAACAACAAAAAGTCTTGATAGTTTGTGCTTACAGTGATTTTGTAAGTTTCTAGTACAGGAATATTTTTTTTGAAATACCATTTGCCGCTCTCTCGCTATGCCGTGGAATTAACGAAAGAAATATTACGAATTTCGTTAGTGGTAGTGGATTTCGCACATTTTTCCACAAGGCAAACAGTAAAATTAGTTCAGTATGACGCACAGAGACTTAGCCGTTTATAAAGGTATGTACGTCCATACGGTGCATACGTATGTATAAACAATGTTCATATTATTTTTCATTCGTCGTTATACTTTACGTTTAGACAATTTTATAAGATTTGTTACAATTCATAGAAACCTTTAAAAGACTGAAAGTTTGGCAATAAGCAATAAATAAAATATTAAGGTTAAACGTTACTTATCTAAAAAGGCACAGTGGAGTGTTCTTGTTAACCGTGTTAGCAGTATCAGCCCAGCGAACACTTTAAAACACGAAAATTGAAGTTTTCTCTCCTACTTTCGAGCCAGCTTCAGCCAACCAGGCGTTCGCCGCGAGCATAAACCTCAACAACCAAGTGGTCCAACAGAATAGGCTTTTGTCTTTCCACCAATTACTTGAAGAAAGAAAGAAAACCAGTTTCCGAAACGCAATGGTATTTATTATTAATGGAAAGAACAATCTTACAATGGATAAGTCCTAAAATAATTAAACATATTACGTCACACAATGTTTAGAAAATTTTGAACGAAGTTACGGCACTTTGTATCTACTTATTTATACATTGTGCACGTACGTTTATGTAGGCCTACATAAAACATATATCTGTGTATGTGTAACTAAATCAGATCAAATAATAACCTGATCAAGACAGGATTAATTGAACAAAAATTCTGGATTTTAGGGTTATGGCAAATTGTACATTCGGTTTGGGATCCGGATCTAATATATGTCGTTTAATGAAGAAAATGTCATAGCAACTGATTATCTGGCTTAAACTTGATCATTGAAACGAGTTTATGTAAAATCATGCATCAAGGTTTCAAGACAAACGAGTTTAGTTTTGAAGATTAATGCAAGTAAACTAAAACATTCGAAATAGAAATAGAAAGTATGTTGTATCTGCTGTTTCATAAAATTTAATCATTAATAATAACTTATTTTCACACTCAGAGAAGAAATTTTGTAATGATGCGTTTAGCGTTGTCGAAGTTCTAAGAAAGTGACCCTATTTCGTCACATGGTCTTGATAGAACATGTACGTAGGCCCAGATTTTCACTATTAGGCAAACCTGCATAGCGTCATAGTGCTAAACCGCGCATATAAACATTTGAATCCGCGGTATCGTAGTGCAAATATTTAACGAAAGTTTGCTATTTCTGACACACAGTCTGCAGTGTTGGACACGTGCCGACGCCTCAAGTCTGTTTGATATTGCGAGTAATGTAAGACAGTAACAGCTAATTGTTGTGACAAAATAGAACGTCGACAATTTGATAAATAAACCGTTTCTATTAACTTTGAATATTAACTGAGGAGAATATTTGGTCCTATGATAGCGGAAGAAACAGAAACATAGGAGAAATTATGATACTTATACATAATGAGGAGCTTCATAATTAGAATAGGATGAACACGGTGGGGCATGTTGAAGATGAGAAATGCATGTAATATTTCTTAAGAAGTCGAGCTGTTAAAGAAGGACTTTAGCCACTACATTAAAATAAATTATGATGGATCTTTTAAATTTGTTATAAATGATCCCTCGTAAAATAAACTGGTATAAGATGACATATTATGCTTATATTTACAGTCTGTATTTGAAATATTTCTGGAGATGGCATATATTTTAATAATGTATCATAAACGTAATACGTAAATTAGATAAATATAAATGACATATCAGTACGGTAATAAAATTCTGTCGAAAGAAGTGGCTAAGACTTTAGGAAAGAATACCTGAAATCGAAATTGAACAGTGCTGTTAAGTAAACAAGGAATCGATCTATAAACAGCACAGGTGTTACGTTTGACTGATAAGAGCTAACATGAAATAAGTCCGATAACTTTTAATTTAGATCACCGACATAAAATTTCATCAAAATACGTGTAGAGGACAAAGAGATAAACAAACAGATGGGCAGACAGATATCTCCCATTCATTTCAGTCGCTTCATGCAGATCAATCAGGTCAGTGTAGCAACTTCAGTTTCGATTGGATTAGGGCAGTCCTGACTAAGAAGTCTTGTGGACATTGTCTGCATATCTTAAAACAGGCTACGACAACCTCTCCCTGAAATCCTTGCTGATGTCATCGTCATTATCAACACTGGCACAGGAATAACCCAAGGCATCGAGATCGCTAGAAGCAAGTAGACGAGCCTTTACCAGTGAACACGTGTGAGAACATCGCCTGACGTATTATTTATTGAACTTAAATGTGTTATTTCGGCCGTTCTGGTTATCATCTCTCGCGAAAGTGGTATGTGATATCGCGTGCCGTGCCACGTCCAGCGTAGCGTGCAGCACATTTGCAAAGTGTGCCTACAGATTCCAAAGTTTGCGTTGTCTCGAGCCGTTCCTTGCAGATAAATTAGCCTGCTGCACACAGAAATCGGTATCTGCTGCGCTGAAACAGTGTGTTCTGTCGCGTTACCAGAATAAAGGTCAAAATCATGATATAAGAAGATAGGAAGTGTGTGCGTAGCGTGACAATTCTCCCCCAGTTAGGCATTTCCACCTATTCCCTTCCGCCTTAGAAAAGCACGTAGATCTTCATGTTGTGATGGTCATTGTCCGATTTTAACCAAAATTGGAATTTGACGATACATTTTTGTGAAATCTGCCAATGGAAAATTTTGCGAGACCCCGGTTAGCCGTTCTCGAGTTGTTATTTACAGGCAGACGGATGGATAGAAGCTAATAGGTACATTTTTCGAATTCTAGTTGTGAATATGCCTAAAAATAGCTAACAAACCCTTTGAAACTGCAACAAAGTTCAGACATATGTACAAGCATACTGAAGCTAATATAATGATGAAGTTAAGAGGAGTTAGATGGAGTATCCCTACTCTTCTGTTAACATTATTTTACGTTCATCTTCTATTTAAATACCTGAAATTTCATAGACTGAGGTTGTGTGAGAACAAGATGCCTAGAAGAATGTCTGGTCGTAAGAAAGCTCAATGAGCGAAAAATGATGGAGGTTAAAATGATTGACTTCTTAAATTGTTCTCATCTACATATATTTTTATCAGGGTATGTATTTAGGGTCTGCTAATTTCAGGCTGATGAGGATAATATAAATAATGGAGTTCACATTTGGACAAGTCATGTTTTTGGTATAATGGAAGTCAATGAAATAAAGAACTGAAAGCTCAGAGTACATGCTTCAGAGGTACCAATGGGCCAAAATGCTCAAAGTGTATTCCAAGTCTTATGACAGACTGAAATTCTTTGAAAACAAACACAGAAATGTATATGTAACATTTGAGGTTTTCACAATAATGTGAATATTGATTATTGATAATCTTCTGGGTTGTTGTGCAATGCAGTATTTTGGTTGATATCAGTGTTTCAGAGGAACACACTGCCTCCATTATCATGGATGATGGAGGCACACAGCAAACATACTATGTGGTGTAACATCGGATATCAATAGAAATGTGTCATCGGCACTAGTGGTTTGAAGATTTCAGGAGCTTGTTCTGGATGAAAAACCTATACACAACTTTATTATATTTTAAATGTGCTTTCTGTAATAGTTAAAACTATTTAAGATTTGAGGTTTTCACAGCGATGAGTATGAAGATTTCTGTCTTCTGGGTTGTTACGCTGTGTAGTCTGGTCGATGTTTACCAACGTTTCAGAGGTCATACTGCCTCCGTCATCAGGAAGTATGGCCTCAGAAACGTTGGTTAACATCGACCATACTACACAGCGCAACAACCCAGAAGACAGAAATCTTCATACTAAGAATCGCCCTGAT